ACCCGAACAGTTATCTCACATAAACTGATATATGTAAGATATAAAACTTGAACTTCATAATGCAAAAAAGTTTGAATTTAGAAATTGTTGATGACTGCTATCAGATCCACGTGTTTTTCGAATTTCTTTAGAAATTCAAATGACTTTTTATCTTCTCAAACGATACATTTGTAGTGTTCTTATATCGATATGTTGGTTGAAGTATGGTTTTGAACAGATTGACCACTAACGATTATTTTACATGCAATTCCATTTATGTGTTTTAGTATGCATTAATTTGAAGCTAAACACTAAATCATTTATAAGACATCCCGACCGTGGATTTTACACATAAACAGTGAATAACAATGGCGGAATATATGTGAATATATGAATATATGTAGTGTCGCCGCTTTCTTCAGCCGGCATTTGAGTCACCTTAACATAATTTTCACCCATTTCTCGAACGTGTTCTTGCTTATAACCGGTCAAATGAGCAGTTCAAACATGTATTCGAAGGCAAATCTGATGGGTCTAAAGTGATAGAGCGTGTATTGCTGGTCAAGACGAGAGCAATACCCTTAAAACCAACACCTCTTAAAACTTTAATATAACTTATATTTCGTTATAAATCCTTACAAGTTTAGCATCTCAGGACCTCTCCTAGTTGAGAAAAAACGTTATTCAAAAAGCCCCCCCCAATTGCATTTGCTTTTATTTAGAAATAATCACCTCAAAGGTGTAAATTCTACAGTGTTATTTATTCCAGATATTATGTCTGACAGAAGTAANTAGAGACAATTTATGTCAGACGTGAAGCCAGCCTGATGCTATGAGCTCAATATCTTTACATTTGGATAAAATCCACTTTTTGGTACTTAAAATGACCACTCACTCTTGGGAAAATGGACAGGTTTTCATTAAATTTATACAAATGAAACATTGCTTGCTTTCCCTGCCACACGTTTGATTAAACACTCCTTTACAAGATATTTCATAAATTTTTGTTAATATATCTCATTTCTATTGTATTAAAATTTAAAATTTAAATGCTTTACCTTTATAAATTAATGCAATAGTATTGAAAATATCATCAGATGAATACAACTATATTTAAACAACGGCTAGCGCGTAGAACAAAAGACGTTCTGTATTCCACATGCAATCACGTCAGGTACGAGTGCGTTACTCACTAGCTGATAAGGGCCAACACTCTACCAGGGCGAGTGATAGATTTTTTACAGATATTCACAGATATGTCTCTAGCTAGATAGATGGTCATTTAGGGCGGAACTCACCCTGTTGAGGAATCTCAAGCCTGATTACATGGCTGATAATTGTTTGCATAACTGCTCAGGCACTGCCACTTAGCAGTTCCAGTCTAAGTCTGCATGACAGCAATCAAGACAGTTAATTACTTCTGGGACTGACTTTGGTCAAGGGCGTTATAAATGTATGTTCAGCCTTGTCCTTGATCGTCCAACACAGGACTAAGTGACCACAAGGCCCCCTTGAGTCAAATATCGCAACAGCAGTGTAGTAGCCGGTGTTTAAGCCAGATACAACACTTGTCGCCGAGCTGTACGTAAAAATAACATGTATGAATATTATATCACAAGGACAGTGTGGAGACCGTGGTTTAAGCCAGATACAACACTTGTCGCCGAGATGTTTACAGTGAAAATTACTCGCGTGTTACAGTCGGAATATATTTCACGTACAGCTCGGCGACTTGTATTGGATCTGTCACACCATTTGCCACACCTGTAAGTATCATAATATGTGCCTTGATCTATGACACCCCTATTTAATTACACATGGTGTACAAAGAAACTGGCAACTCACCTATAAATTACTTGGCCATTTAACATCGTTATGCTGTTAACAATGCAAAGACCAAATTGGGATGTGGTCTGGGTCACTTAAGAAGTGGACTATACTATGATCTGGCCTGTGACATATATAATCGACGAAAAATGTCTACCCACCCTTCTAAAATCAGCGCCATTTTGATGCATGAGACGTATATACACTCACCTGCCTGTTGGTCACAAAAACAAAATCGGTATGGATCCTGTTTTTTTAGCAGGTAATACAAGGTATTGCAGATACGGCAGCTTACCTTAATAATGTTGTTCCCACCTGAGATCCCTCTTTCGCTGCAACGACAACGCCCGCAGTTAACAAAATAGGTATATGTATTAATTTTGAAAGCACACCTGGATGTCCCGTTGCGAAAACAACTTTGACCTACGTCATTGTTATACAAATGAATTCAGCTGATCTGGGGGTCGATTTAGTGGAAGTCGCTCATTCTTGGAAGAGATTCGTTTCGCCGAAAAGAACTACATCGTGGAGTTCTTTTATCCAACGTTTCAATCCACGTTATGTCCAGTTAAGGTAAGTTTTGCCTGATTCTGTTATATTTACTGACGTACGAATTAACCATTGACCCTATTTGCACGTGGATAACGCAGTCTGACAACACAATGGACATAAGCAGGTTTTTCGGTTAAAGTCACGTCATGTAATTCATATTGTGTTTTTAAATACATATTTAAATGACGGGTCATAATGATATAAAGTGCATGACAAAGGCCTACAAAACGTATTTTAGACCCCGTTACAATACATAGATCGATCTAGCAAGATCCACCCAGATCCAACGGGTTTCTCGCTAAATTGCATTCAGCTTCAGTGATTTAGATGTCTAGCACGCCTACTGAAGTTGTTTAACGATAGTTGTTTACCCCCTAATAGCTTCAGTAGGTGTGTCAGATATCAGAGCCGCTTAAGCGGAATGCAATTAAACGAGAAACCCTTCGGAGATGGGTCGATCTTGCTATGTCGATCTTGGTTAAGAAACGGGGTCTTACTTTTATTGCTCTATACTCAGATATTGCTGTTCTGGATTCAATCTCTTTTTTTTTCGCCGACCTCAGTTTCTGGGGGAGAATCATTGCTTTTTCTTCGAACAAATGATGTTGCCCAACAGATCGCGTGGTAATCTAGATGTACATTACACTTATACCACGTGATCGTAATGCATTGACACATGCCTTTTGAAGTTTTGCAGCAGAATGGCGAATAATGTAGCACGTCGAAATTGAATCATTGTTTAAGCCCCCAGCCTATTTGCTCCCTTCTGTAAAGTGAGGGTCTCAACAAAACGCATAACAACAACAAAACCACCGGGGGGTGTTAGTGAACTAGTAGGCTATATCTTCACCCTCAGCAGAACTAGAATAGTCCTATCTGCGATTTAAGTCAGTCACATGTATGCTAAGATTCACAAATACAAGTGTATATGCTTGTTGGGTCCCAGATATATGATATGACGCCATATAACTCCTCTTTTCAATGCACAACGCTTGTCGTATAATCGATTGACCTCGACTGCATTGCCATAGTGATAACCAAGGTGACAAAGAGACAGACTCGGCTGTTACCTTGATGGGTCAATGGATCTGAATACAACACAGAACCTCTTTAGAAATTAATGCCTTAACGCCCCTATTTGACGATTTTGATATCTTGTTTCCAGCGTGCTCGTTCAACTTCCCATGCCCTAGTTAAATTGACACATAAATTACTATAGGAGGACTTGAATCATCCCCCACAACAAAGTCTTATGGTCAGGTGTTATTCTTAAATTTTGTTAAGGCTTTCAAAAGGATTGATCACAATATCTAAATGAAAAAATTAGAAATTCAAGTGAAACCAGACTTTCAAAGACGATGGATTTATTCCTTTCTTTGCGAGTAAAATGCAGTAGCTTTAATTCTGATTGGTTGGAGGAGTGCTTCAGGGTACTAAATTAGGCCTAACTCTTTTCCTTGCAATGATCAATGACCTGAAAAACTTGTTGTCCAGATGTTGATGATACTTCCATTTACGAAATTTGCAAATTCGGCGAAACACCACATATATTGCTTTATGATTTAAAGTTTATTGTCGATTTTCTTTTAAACATACTTTGTACAACTTCAACCGTAGGTTTCCAATTTTACCTAATAAACTATTATTATTATTATTATGATTATTATTAGTATTATTATAATCACCATAATCACCAGCATTTTTGTATTACTCTCAAGGCCAGAAATCTTTTAATCTAATTTTGACACAGATAATAGTGCATTTTCTCTCTTTTAAAAACACCGACCCATTCACATCTTTATCATTTTTAGGTTATAACAGAAAACACAAAATACTTGGAAATAAGAGGCGGTAGCAGCAATGGCAAATATAACTGACATAACTCTAGACACCATCGAGTCTTTGAACGACTCCGTGGAGGCCTTTGATATTTGCGATCGTTATGAGATATACACTGACGACATTGAAGATCTACAGGATCTAAAAGAAAGGCTTCGCTTACATTTCGAGGCAGAACACTCTCAAGTTCCCAGATTGGAAAAGGTATAGTCTATGTCTTTCTTTTTATTCAAATATACCCACGTTTACTTTTGTTTGCTTTTGTTTTGTAAACATAGAGGCCATTCAGAATAGAAAAACCTGAGGGTCTTCTGATCCACGGATCAAGTATGGCGGACTCTTTATGAAAGAAGACCCGACTAATCCGCTAATGGTCTCTCCGTCTCCACATGCGCCGTCCTTGCAGAGGTCCAGCAATTAAACCTTGGGCTAGGGAATTAAATCGTTTAATGGCGCGTGTGGAGGCGGGGAGCCTATCTGCGGATTTGTCTGGTCTTCTTTCATGCAGGGTCTTCCATATTTGATACGTGGAGCAGTTGATCCTCGTTTTCCTTATACCAGTTGGGAATATTGAATATGTTGTTGGACACCAGGGTGCAAAAGTTACTGTGTATGTTTATTTAAATATATAATTTTAGGCTGCTGATGTTTTCGCTGAACTACGAGAGAATGATACGCAAAGAAGAAATGCACTTCAGTCGATCTTTAAAACCATTAAGGAGTCCCTACAATTACTTGACTTGAGCATCTTAAAGAGACTGGAAGCTGAGAATGTTGTATCTGAGAGCGCAGACATAAACGTGCGTAAAAGGATCACCATGCTCGAAACTGGTAACTGCCCAATACTTGTAGCAGGTAGGAGTTATTAATCAAACAACTCATTGTTTATAATCAAATTATTGGGCACTTAATACTCTTCCTCTGCTAATATGTCATTAAAATTATATATACTATTGAGTTCAGAATAAATTAGATGTTAACAAAAGTAACAGTTGCTTTATCACTTAACTGGTAGCGATATTTTTTTCATTTATGAATGGATTGTATTACATGAACACAATACATGTTTGCTAACTGTGTTATCGTTAGCCAGTCGTTGAGCTACCCATTGGAGCATGGGGTGTTATCCCCAGACATGTCAGCTCTAATACCTTATAATTATTGCTGTTAACAAGTGAGTAACGGACGGATAACAACCGGGAGCGTTTTTCTGAGCTCATCTGTATTATGACATGTGCAGTTGTAAAAGGGAACACAATCACAATATCCGATGATTACACACGCATGCATAGGCATATTTGATAATAAATACATGTATTTTATCTATATGATGTTTCTAGATTGGGTCATTAATTTTTAATTTTTTTTAAATTAATCTTTCCTGTTCACATTATTTTATCGGTTCATTCGTTTATGTAATAAACATTGCTTTTTACATTTGATTGTTTGTTTATCACTTTGACCTTATTATATATATTTTCACATATACACGGCTTTTCACAATCTAGGCGAAACTTCTTCGGGGAAGAGCACGCTTTTGAACCTTCTCCTTGGCAAGAAGATCCTACCGGAAGCCCATCTAAGCTGTACAGCTGCGATAACAAGAATAAAGTATGGAGAAGAACCTAGAGTATTCAAAGTGACACACTATGCTGACGGCAGCAGAAAGTCGTCAGAAGTCCCCATAAAGAAGCCTGATGATTTGTGCTCGGCTTTGGAGCCTGTTCTATTCCCTAAGGGTGCAGCGAGGGAGGATGAACTGGAAAAGTGCACTGTTGATGTTTATTTGCCGTTTGAACTGTTAAAGGTAATGACGTATTTCATAAAGACAGGGCATATGGAAAATGATGTATAGATTGTGTTTTTTTAGAGATCTACTTCTCTGTCCGTGCAAAATTGTGACATGAAACTAAATTGGGAACTGGTATATACATGTAATTTCACAGAAAATTGCTAAACTTTCTGTCAAAGGTATGATGCCTTCACATTAAGTATCCACAAAATACATAAACAAAATGGTGTTATACCCTTAGAGTGGTGTGTATATCATCGACAGCCCTGGTATTGGTGAGAGTGGTGTCATGGATGACGTGGTTCTTGACTTCATTGCCAACAATGACGTCTTTGCCTTCATTTACGTCATTATGACTGATAAGTCAGGCGGAGTACAAGAAGATAGGGTAAGTAAACTGCACTGATATTGTATTCAAAGCTTTTCTCAATTCTCCAATAATATTGCTGGCAATATACTTGCTCAGTTTTCCCCAGACAAAATTGCATTAAAAGCATTTGAGTGTGTATTGCTTAAAAATATTCAAATCAACATACTTAAAGTTGCGAAGAGCCCTTGCGGGGTGAACATGAACTTCCTTTAAGTGACCACCAGTCACCATACAAATATATTAGCCCTCTTACTCCTTTGCTAAAATAATGGAATATTTCGAAAACAAGAGATGATTTAATTTCAAAGTGTACCGTAATAATTGTCAGAAATATGAAAATAGCTTAACTATCGTCACAATGGTATAAGTGTGATAAACACCTTCCTAATACAAAAGTGCTGATTAGATTTGATAACCTTATGGTTATGTGACATATCTTATCAGAATGATATGATGGGTCACTTGCATTTTTGAGTTGGAGTTGGAGTCGCATGTCAGTTTTGTCTAGTGCTGTTATAGGTTGTCAATTCTGCTACTACTACTATATCCTTTCACGCAGTCAGGCGTCTAGGGCACCGACAAAGATCCCCCACTGCGCTCTGTCACGAGCTAGGTGTTGAATGATTCCCCGGGGTTCCCTCAGTTGTTTCAGCCTCCGCGTGGTCTTAGGTCTGCCTCTTTTTCTGTGTCCCTCTGGTGTCTAGTACATGGTTACTTTTGTGGTGAAACTTGGCCAAACCATTTCCATCTCCTTTTCCTGATGACTTTACTAACGCTTCTCCGGTTGTTTTGTTTTAACAGATCTTCATTGGATATAGTCCTTGATTTGTTTAAGGCTTGAGGTGTGAAAAGTAGATACTGTAGCTTCCTGAGATAAATCGTAATATCATCCAGCTGTAGGTCAAAGAAATATGTGTGATCAGTCATCGGCAGTGGTTTCCCACCTAAGACTACAACCTGGAAGGATCGTATGCTCTACCAGATGGGTAGTCAAAGAACAGTTGTCAGATTTTTCTCAGAGGACTCAGACAAAATTTTCTTCACCTAACAGAAGAACCCACATTACAATGGACCCATCAACTTCATTGCCTTCACGTGCGTTACTAGGTGCACGTTTGGTTTTCTGATAAAATGTAGTTGTTTTTTCATAGTACTGATATAAGACTCCTTGTTCCATGTCAATTTTGGGATACTAGTAGGTTTGCTCAATACTTTTTGGGTTAGAACTTGCCAACGGTGGTAGTCACAATGAAGGTCGAACCATCATCAGACCAAGCCCAAGCAGTCTTTTTTCTATTTCAACAAGCTTTATCGGGATCAAAGAACGCAACAATTCTTCAATGGCCTATCGGGCAAATAGACAATCCTGCCTTTTCTCCTTGTTCGAATCCCATAGAGCATTTTTGAGATGCTCTAGACTGTGCAGTAAGAAGGAAAGAGGACTGGCAGATTATACGGAATGAGCTGAGGCAGGCTTGATCAGGCTTTTGGTCAAAGTGTATATAAAATACTCATAAACTAGCCTCATACCACTATTCCAGCCCACGTGTGACTAGAAGTTTTTCTGATTTACTGTTTAAAATCCAACGGCCACCAACAGTCAGGAATAATATCTTCGCTAAATTGACTTAAATATTGTAATAATTTTAAAATCAATATGAATTTCAGAAATTATTTTTAGCTTACTTCCAACACGTCCCATTTAATCTAATATGTGTGATAGGCTTTTCTTCACGTTTGAAAATGAGAGAATAAATGAAACGCTTTCAAGCGTGAAAAGACCATATGATAGCATCTGCTTTATCTGATGTTCTTGCTGTAGCTCCAAAAATTGCTGCGGCAACTTCAAGATATGAAGGATACTGCTGGAGAGCCAATATTTGACCCTGGCTGTGCCATTTTTGTCTGCAACCGCTGGGATCTGGTGCCAGAGGACGCAAGGGAAAAGGCTTTAGAGAATGTGCGTTTGGCAGTGAGTGAGGGCTGGAACCGGCCCATGGATTCATCAAAGCAGATATTTACCTTTTCTGCTAAAATGGCGTGGCAGCATAGTCAGGCGGGGTACATGACTCACGACTACAGGCGACTGGTCAGAGGCATCAAGGGCCTGATTCCAGTGAGTTTGCAAAGAAGGACGGAGCATGTGCACCGGTGTGTTTAATTTTACATTATTAATTTATTTATTTAAGTAAACTTCAACGAACTCATTCCGTGTTCCTGAATAATAATACGACACCCAATTTAACCTTGTGTTATTAAACCCTATCTGTATCCAATGTGCGTTTACATTTATATGATTCTAGGCCAGTTCTTGGGGCTGTTTAAAATATTTTCCATAATACAGGTTATTTATACTATGTTTATTTTAGATGGGGCAAACATATGGTAGAGCGCACCATAGATTATGCCCAGCAGTATCTTCATTCTGCCAATTTGACTAGGGATGAACTTGAGGCTCAGCACAACTCACAGAAGATACGGTTGGACAGACTTGAGAAAAGGTCGGAAGAAATTTTGAAAAAATTAGAGGACCATCTTTATAAAGAATGTGAAACCATTACTGATTCTTTATCTAAATATCTTGGCAGCGAACCTGTCTGTGATCGAGTTACCTCTTGGACCAATGCTGAAGCTCCTTATGGGATTAGTTGGAACTATTTAGAAGGTAGAATAGAAGATGCCATTTGTAAAAGAATCATTGACGCCATCAGCTCTTGGGAAACGGAGAAAAAACATTTTGAAACCCTGAAGAAAGACTTGTTCAAGAAATTCACTAGAGAATTCCAGTTAATTGAATCTGAGCTGCGAATGATTGAAAACATGTTGGAAAGGTCCTCAGAAACCGATTCTAGGGACAGTGCAGATTTGGCAGCCTATATAGAATTGCAAGACCTAATGGACAACGAGGTGAACAAAATGTCGATTGTAGACTTAAACCTAGGTGACAAAATTGCACTCGGTTTATTTTCACCAATCATTTTACCCATTGGTGCGTTGGGTATGCTTCTCGCGTCACCGGCTTTTCTTTTTGTTGACGTAAAAAAACATGTAAGGAAGAGGAAAGAGAAACAAATCTTAAAGCAATATGAGCAGAAAAAATGTGAATTTCTTCGAGACAGATCATCCGAGGCTTTGAAAATAATGGCTAAGCCAGATGTTACAAAGGCCTATGTCGATGCTCAACTCCAAGAGGCCAGGGATCATCTACAGATGATGCGCGAGTCCATTCCACAGCTTATATCATCAACACGAGACTACATGCAGACCATTAAAGAAGACCAACGGTCTAAGGAACAGCTCATCGCCACCTATGACCCTGTCGTCAAGAAGTTTACCAGAGTTAACCGTGCGCTGGAAGATTTTGCTATTACACATCTTTTCTCGTATGATTATAACGAGACAGATGTGGAAGCAGACATCAGACGTGTTAAAGGGCAAACGTCATATAAAGGGAACTGGACTGAAGTTTTTCCTGCCATCTTAAAATCTCCAAAGGGTCAATCCCTCAAGATATCTGTAAAACGATATAAATGGGCTACATGTGAGAAGCAAGTTCGTGAGGAAATCATTGAAATGAGGTGTGTAGAAATAAGAAGTTGCCACTTGTTTGCCTTAAACATTTCCTATGCTTATTTCAATGCAGTTTTTCCTTTCTTAATCCTAGAGATTGGCTGGCACCATACATTGAATAGGACATAACACAAGGACAAATTATTCTTTTCCAGAAAAATGAAGCAACAAAAGAGGAGATTCATTCCCACCATACTGGGTACTTATTTGGATTCAACAAACGAACTGCCAGCTCTTATCATGACCCCGCGTCTGACCAGTTTGAGGGTCCTTAGCAGTGACAAGGGCGCAACTAAAGTCATCCGGAGTCAGCTGGTCCATTATTTACTCAAAGAACCGGTAGATTGTCTAATCCAACTGGCGGACGCCTTGGCCTACCTGCACAAGAATGGCTTCGTCTGTCTGGATTTGTCTATGGATACAGTTATGATTACCGTGAGTAGGGCCTATTTATAAAAAAGATATATCAAATTTGATCTTGTATTCTCTTTTCTCCTGTGATTTAGTTTGATTTTGTTGCTTTTTGATATAGAGCGCAAAAAGCATTACAAGGAACACATAAACAGTCGCGAACCTACATCCTTCCACAAGGTATGGTGTACATGGTGAAATTGAACGTAATGTGTAATGATATTCCAAAAGAAAGATATAGTTTTATGGTGGCATGGGGATATCGCCTAATATGTAAAAGAAATAACTATATATTTTTACACATACCTGTTTACAAATGTACCTGTTCACTTAGGGGAGTTGGTCGCAATAGTTCATGCACATAAACTTCACGGTGGCATCACAGAGTAATCCTGTTGTTTTCAACGTGACTGGCGTACTCTTTCCCCGTATTTTACTCAACGTCAAGAGGAGGCGTGTTAGTCTGTTAATATGATTGCATTCAGCGAGGGTCCCCGAGGAGTAAGTGCTAATTCAATCTGAACGGTCCCTTATATTTTGTTTTGTAGGCTGGGAGGGAAAAAACCGTGAAGTTAGTGAACATTAGCAAGCCTGTCACGATGCCACCCCCAGATCCCAACTCCCCCATAGGGTCTATGGTTTATCTCCCCTACAGCGTCCTCGATGGCACCAAACCCTACGATGCAGATGCCAACATCTACGCCCTTGGGCTCATGATGTGGGAGATATGGCATAATGGACACGTATACAAAATTCACAGAAATCTTGCAGTAAGAGTCTTCAGTGCCGGCATCAGGCAGGGCAACTTCCCCCCAGAGTTTGAAACTGGTAAAATGGACCCGACCTTGGAGGCATATTGGGAAAAGACCATGAGGGCTTGTCTCTCCGGGGAAATAGCCATGAAAGACTGCAGAGTTCGGATGCATGGAATAAAGGATTTACTGAACCGAAAAGAAAGTGCTGTGTGATGGTGTTAATTGTTATCCAACATGTTAACAAATGCCTTTTATGGAACGGCAGAACAAGTTACCACATTTTCATTAATGGGGCACGTATTTAATATGGAGTACTTTGATCTTTAAATATGATATTCATTAAATGGAGTATGCAATGTAGCTGTTGATTTAATTTCCTAGATTTTGTACAGGGTAATCACATATTCATACAAAGACCATGTACCTGTCTAATGATGATTCATCTTTATATTTGCATTTATCTATGTTGTGTGTGTGTGTGTGTGTGTGTGTGTATTATAAACCAATTCTTAAGATTTGCTTTTTCAGCGGCAATTCCTTTAGTCCATTAACTTGTACACCACTATTTTCACATAATAACTTTCGTATTTTCATTGAATTTTCTTTGGAAACACATACATGTATATAATGTATTTTATCTAGAAAAGCTCTAACTGTTAGAAACCTACGCTAGCTTGTGTACAGTGATGGCATTTGGTTTTGTATGGGGATAAACAGGCAACTTTAAGACTTACTGTTTAAATTTTATATATGATTAGCATACATCCTAACCTTATATAAATCGCAATATTGAACAGTGATGTAATGTTTTGTTGGTGTAGGGGAAATGTTTTTTTAAAATTTCATTAACTCAAGAAAATATTCACTGCAGCGTAAAACATCCCACCATTAACTAAGAAGTGAAAGTAAACTGAAGGGAAAGTTAAAATATAAAGTTTTTGAAAACCAGAGAACTTTGATGCATCGTGGTATGGGAATGTGACATGATAAGAAGCCTTATAATTGTAAATTAAGACTGCACGAATAAACATTTGGGCAACAAAATAGTAAACGTTCTTTCTTTCTAATACAACGTGGAAAATTAACATTACTATACTTAGTTGCTAGAATCATTTGGGTGTGTATGTGTGAGGGGGTGTCAGGAACAACCGCCGTGCAGGGAGGCCAAATCGGTGTCTACGGTGTCTGGGTATCACGGTCTCTTTCCGCTACGTAGGAGGGCTCGTTGTCTACGATTTAATATATAGTAGGTCGGTGGGGGAGGATTAACTGGCCTTGGGTGACTCGTTTTGCTGGGGGGGGGGGTGCTAAGTTTGATTTAATACAATCGAAAAACGACTCTGTCACTGAGAAGCTAGTGTCGTTTTTGACGAAGTGTTCTTTGTGTGTTTGAGGGGGGTGAGGGGATGAGGAGAGGTGAGGGGGTGACCTCCGATGCAAGACTTCTGTCTGGAGAAAAAATTAGTTTAATTAAATTTTTCATAAAACGATTCTTTAAAAAATTCTGTTTAACGAAAAAAAAAAAAAAAAAAAAAAAAAAAAAAAAAAAAAAAAAAAAAAAAAACAATCCGCTCTACCATTAACCAGTGTCGGTTTTCGATAAAGGAACCTGGCACCCAGAAATTCATTTAGTTTTTTCAAAACAATTTGTAACGGTTCTGATGCTCAGAAACCAGAATCAGAAGTGGACGGAGTGAGGTGCGACCGACAATAGGCGTTAATCTCCACAAAATAAAAGAAAACCCAGTACCAACGGCGCATTTAACTTCTTTAGTGGTTCCTATAGCCAGTATTGCTCAAGGATAGCGAAATTAGGGCAACTAGTGACAGGGCAACAATTTATCGTTTAAACACTGTGAACTGAGCGGTGCGTGAAAAAAACCCTATGGCGCGTTACTATCTTCGATTTAAACAAAGTAAAATAAATAAATAAATAAATAAATAAATAAATAAAAGGGCATGCTATCTGTTAAACGTCGCCACTGTTGAAGAACGAAGTTGTCTAGACTACAATTCTGTGCCGACAGTATGGTTTACATGTTTTTATTATCTGGAATTAGGGTTATGAGTCCCTAATAACAGATTTCATTAAAAAAGGCATTGTTTTTCTTTATCAACGATAAAATCTCAACTAAGACTTCTATGAAATATCGCTGGCAGGGTTTGCAGTACTAAATAGTGTCATTAAATCAGCGTTAAAACGGTGATCGTGGGTGCTCAGGTAAAAGTTAATTTTGAGAAACCAATTTTTCAATTTTACCCAAAAATCGCGAATATTACGTCACCTGCAAGATGACATATGCGTAAATGTCATTTTATTTAGTCACTGGACACCGAAAATTCATTCATTACCCAAAAGAATGTATGTAAGGCAGTAAATAATGAGTTTTGGGCAAAGGGGGACGATATCCTTAAAATCACATATCCTTAATATCGCTTTGCGATCGGGCTGTCTACTAAGTCTGACTTGAGAAATCGATTATTAGCGTGTTGTAAGTAACAAAGCAGGCCGATTTTAGTGACTATTTCCTTATTTTTCGACAAATGTTCTTATAAAATATGTCACATTGACGTATAGATATCACTGAGTTTTCTAATGACCGACCATTCTTACTTTTGGGTTGCAGGTCCGCTACATGGTTAATGGAGTCTAATACATGTTTCAGTAAATTATTCACTTGAGAGCCATTATCAATTTTAAACCTAACAGTGCTTCTACAAGGCAAAAGTGCTTGATTCAGGTCCTACATGTTGGATGTGTATACTAGTGTACTGTCTAAAATAAATCGCGAATCTGAATCTGAATCGGGCTGACCTGGCAAAGCACTCTGTGGCATCTATTTCTGCAGCACGCATTTCAGAAACAACTTAAGAAGTTCTTCTTCAAATTGAAGTAAATACATAAGAAATTAATTAAAGGAATTGAAGATTAAAGAGGGAAGTTTACTCTGTATTATCGTTGAAAGATGAGGTAATTTGCCTGGAGACTGGCCTTACAAATAAGAATATATACTCTATTGTTGTAAAATTATGTAAGGCGGTTCTCCAATGATATCAGCTGTTATTATGGTCGAAAAAAAATTCGTTGGCAAGTCAAATTTTCATAACACTATTGACATGTGTCCATGTACTCTGCACGATGCTATATCATGACTTCTTAAAACTGTGCCATCAAGGGAAAAGAACAGAACCTGTGTGCCTGAGTCGTTTTCATTATTTAGTCACTCTAAAATAATAATTTGCTGCACAGGTATCTTAAAAAGTTGCTGCCCCTGGCTTGATGAATGAACAGAAGTTGCTTTATCAGTATACCGAGGAATGAACTGATAATGATCTGCACTCTCCGGCTCATTGGCTTTCATTTCATTAAATCAACAGTGCAATGTCGGAATCGTTTAAAAAAAACGACCTTGTTTCAGGTTGCCAGGCTCTTAAAAAACGACACTAATTTTTGGTTGCCAGAATAGTTTTTTCAAAACACGGCACTGATTTCTAACCCTCAGAATCGTTTTTGATATATTCAATGGTGTTATGAAAATTACATTGTATACTCAAAACAGCAAAGGGAGATCCCAGGTTCCCGGCCTAGTGTAGACGACCTTGGAGTGCCCCTCTCTCCCACCCATAAACGATTCTAGTACCTGTCATAGTGCGATTTTTATAATCAATATTTTACCTCTCTGTTAGCATACAAAGACGGTAAATTTAACGGTAAGTGGCAAGTCAGTAGAATAAGAAGCCTGTGCTGTGTTACCGCAGAAACGAATCCAGAGCTCTTAATGCGTAGTCAGTAGAATATGATGATAGCATAATCGATGCAATGGGCTGTACCTGTCTTCTCTGCAATCGATCAGACATTTCTCTCTTTCCTTTCGTAAGAACGTGAGGTAACTTCACGCAAATGTCCTATAACATAATTGCTTTGGTATTTTCACCGATGCTGGTAGTGATTGCAGTAAGCAATGGAGAAGAAATGCCAAAGACAAAACCACGCTTGGTTTCCGTATGCGTACCATCCTAAACACTATGTATGTTAATTTTATCATGGGACGAAGCTTGTTCCAAATGTAACCGAGTTACCGATCATTTAAAATCTGACATTGTCTGTATAAATTGCTTTAAAAGTAGACTTAATCAGTTAACTTTAAACAGGAACACCACCTGACCCAGCTGAGAAAGCGGAACTTTTCCCTGGCTTCCCTGACCTGCTTATCCATAATAAATTTTTTCTTCTTTTGCCAAGTTCTGGTAGCTGCGAAAACATCCAAATAATAGTTAAAGTAAAGGGAATATTTAATCCAATACACTACGTTTCGACCTTCTTAAAAGACCCCCAGGTGATCCAGTATCAGCTTCATTTTTACTTTATTTAAGTTAAAATACAACTTCATGAATCGTAACATTCATTTTGATATTAAAACAGATTGGCATTGCTTTGCATTGCAAGTTCTCAACTCTGAAAGCCTAGAGGCTTTGTGAAGAGAAAAGCTTCTGGGCATCAATAGGTAAAATTAAGTGTATTTAAAAGTTTCAAGACGAGTCTTTTTTTTTCATTGCATATCTCAACAAAAAATACAAAATTGATAAACAACTAAATAAAAATCACTCTCACTCACTCTCTCAGTTACTCACTCACAAAGAGACACTCAGTCATTTGCAATATATATATATAGGTATTGCATCATTTAAAATATTTGTCAACAACGATATATAATCTAATAGTAAAATACTTGATAATAACTAATTAATACTATGATCTAATTCAGATAAAAACTAATATGTGTTTTACTATCAAATATCGGCAGGGGAACATACGACAGAAGATATCATTCCAGGAAGAGAGGCTGCAGCTTTTTCCATTTTTCATTAAATTTATCTATTGTCATGTTTCTTAGACTTATATTTCTCTCTGCGATGTAGGCCTGTCTCCATTCTATTTTAATATTTTCTATGTTCGGGGTAATGTTTTTCATTTTAAATTTATATATAATAAATTTTGTTATGATCAGCAAACTGTTGAGCGCATTGCACTTCAAATTTGGAATTCCTAGAATTATATCAGATGCTGTTAATTGTAATACTTGTCCAGTCTTTAAGTGGATCCAGTCTTGTATTTGTGCCCAAAGGGGAGCAATTACTTTGCACTCAATAAATAAGTGTTGAAGAGTTTCAGGGTGTTCGTTACAGAAGGAGCAGGTCTCTGTGTCTTTTAT